ATAAAAATGACCCAAAAATGCTAAAAATGCTCTTAAAACATAAAAACGGCAAAATATGCAAAAAAATGCAAAATAAAATGTTTAGCTTTGAAACACTCGTTACATGAAACGAATTTTATACTTGAAAAGCATTGTCTATAATCAATTAAAAAAAGATGCACTTTGCATTGAAATCCGGGCCCTACTTATTAGGAATAAATATATACGTTTATGCATTTTTCATAATTCGTGAAAATTACTTAAGCAGACAACCGGATGCGGTTCATAAAAATTAGGTTACTCACAATGGATTGTCGTTATTTCAGGTTATGGTCATATATCTCCGTCGACAAATACCGGTCGGCTGATAACCATTGTGTACGCAATATTTGGTATACCTATATTCCTTATTTTGTTGGCCGATTTCGGAAAAATGTTCACCAGAGGCATTAAATTTCTCTGGGCGTTCGTCCGGCGCTTATACTACACCGGCAGCTGTCGAAAAGTTCGCAGAACTGCACCAGTTCAAGTAAGTAAAAATAATTTCCATGACCATACTAAACCTTAAACTCTATGGACCGTATARCGTACAATAGTGCTATCACTTATGAATGACTTGTGAATTCAGACTACGCAAATCTAAAACCTTAGATGGCTTATAAAGGATACGCATGACTAATAAACTACCATTTAATTTCCAAATATTTTATGCATTTTAGYAAACAGTAATTAGAGCGATATTTCAAGACCTATGTGAAATGTCTACTGTACGTCATATTTTATACTGAATATTTTATAAATATATTAATACGTTAATCATCTTATATTACGTGTTTAAAATGTGGATACAGCCAAATTATAATATCTGTAGACTGTTTCATATTATTAAATRACCAATTACTTATATAACTCYATGATTCCGATGTATGAAATATTAGTTAAAAATAATGTTWAACACTTCAAAATGTYCGTTGTGATTCCTAAGTAGGTGWAAATAATAGGTGTCAAAGGAAGTTAACCGTGATGATGTGAACGTTATATAATATTAATTTCAAAATAACAGTATGTTTTATTAAACAGAAATATGAACAACAATATAACTTTATATGCACATTGTATACACTATCGGTATACTAAATAAATAGAAAGTTGACAATTAGTGGAAGAGTTTCAAATACCTTTGTTTCTACTGTGATCATTTTAAAAGTTWAATCGTTTTGAACTGTAGATAAAAATATTAATGTATCAAATTTTGTATGTTAACATTTAAATATTTCTACACTGATAGGTATATAAGTAGGTAAATTAAACATTTGTACTTGCGTGTATTTGTAACGTATTAATTTAAAACATAATATTTTATTGGAAATTTGTAATTAGACTATAAAGTGTCGAAAGTATAATATATTTTCGACAAGTATTCATTAACTTTTAATTTTCATGGTTCTACATTGTGTACTAGATTGTCTTTAAGAAATGGTATCATTTCAATTATCAAATACCAATTTCATAGTTTTATGTGCATCAAGACTWTACACTATTTATTCAACTTGATATAGTAAATTGAATGTTGATACTACGATAGTACGATACGTATAATAATTACCGAAATAATATATTATTATATTAAAATATTATATAAAGTTTATTGTTGTTTTTTAAACACAGCGTTTAAAAATTAAAACGAGGGTTCATAATAATATACAAAGCACAAACTATAAAACTCGTTTAATGAAAAAAAAAAATTTCTCTTATCTACAGTAACCACATTAAAATAAGAGATCGAGGATATCATTTGATTTAATAGGTCATTGCATTTCAAAAGTGGTAGTAATTAATTTAAAACTATAATGGACGTTAAATTCATTAACCAAAAAAAAAAAAAAAATGCAGTAAAGGCGTTATAATGTTTCATTTCGTATTTCAATTGACTGAAAAAACATGTGAACAGTAATACAACGAAGACACTATTCAATTGTTTTTGTTTCCATAAAATATACAAAATAACTTTTAAAAGCTTTTAGAATTCGATTACTTTATAAGCCTTGAATTAAAACATTGAAATCGAATTAATGATTTTAAACTAATTTGGTACAATGTGTTCGATATTATGTTATTTACCAAACACGTATACATTAAATACTAATTAAATGGTGTTGAAATCAAAGTCACATTAAAATTAAAATTTTTAACAAAACTAAGTATGGAAATGTAGTGGGTATAATTTATTTTTTTTTGATTAATTGTATGTTTCGATGTAGGTGTTTTATATATCAGAGAATGAGAGAGACTATATAAATGAAAAAAAAAGAGATACTAAACAAATATTTATCTAAATTCCTTCCTGATCTAATCGTAATGTTTTTACCTCTATTTAAAATGATGAAAAACTTTTCCTAGAGAAAAAGGATTATTTTGTAAAATATTAAACCGATTTTTAATGAATAGCACGAAGTCAGTGATAGCATGAGAAGCAAGTATAGGAATATAAAGGTGACATTTTCAGTATTTTTTTTTTATATTTTCCGCCTATTGTAGACCACTTAATTCATTTGAACTAAACGTACAATATCTATATATATATAAAGAGACTTGTCCTGGGTGATTCATCAACGCCCAGACCAAACCACACTAGGTTTAAAGACTTGAAATTTTGTACAGAGGTTCTTTAAGCAATGTAGAGGCGCACTAAGAAAGCATTTTTCAAAATACGCATTTTAAAGGGTTKYTCAAACAGGGATTTTGAGATTTACGATGGAAATAAATAATTTTGTTTATAATATTTGTTTATAAATGGTTGCTATAACATTCTGATTTATGTGTTCACACATTTATCACTTTATTATTACAGCTAATTATTATTATTAAATAACGTGTCTTCGTATACGCACCCGAGTTTATGTACGATTCTTTAACATATTAAAATAAAAATGTTTACATTCTTACAAATTAATAAAAAATAATTAATATGGTTGTCGAATTATTGAACATAAATGGCACAATTATGCCCCACACTATTATTAAAATTATTGATGACAGAGCTTGCCTGTTTAGGGAAATATCTTATTTTGTGTTATATGACACTCAATATAAGGCCCAAGAAGTACGTAAAAAGATGGTAACCTATGTGATAAATCTCTGGGAAGATTATTCAATAATATCACATGATAGTGATGGAAATAATTATCGTTGTTTTGCTCACTACTTTAATGATATGTTAAAATGTAATACTTATGGAGGTTTATGTGAGCTGGTGGCAGCCAGATAATTATTTTTGGTATTTATTGAGG